AGTGTGAGTGTGAATGAAAGAGTGAGAGAGTGAGAGTGAGAGAGTGAGAGAGTGAGAGTGAGTGTGAGTGTGAGGCTGACTGTCTGCGAGGTTCACAAAATGCTGTGCCTGCCGCGAGATCTGCACTTCGAGGTTCACAAAGTGCTGTGCCTGCCACAAACCCTGCACTTCGAGGTTCACAAAGTGCTGTGCCAACCACGAAATCTGCGCTTCCAGGTCAAGCAAGTGCTGCGCCTGCCACGAAATCTGCACTTCGAGGTTCACAAAGTGCTGTGCCACGAAATCTGCACTTCGAGGTTCACAAAGTGCTGTGCCTGCCACGAAACCTGCAAAGCGCCGCGCCTGCCGCGCAATCTGCGCTTCGAGGTTCACAAAGCGCAGCACCTGCCACGGAATCTGCACTTCGCTGACAAATCTGATAGATCTGATAGTGAGAGACATCTGAAGTAACTGATACTGTATCTCTACTGGATCCTTTGATGTCATATTTTCCTGACCGTTGGTTCCATTCAGAATCGGCGTCCTGCTGATGGATGAACTGCAGCTGAGAATGCGGAGAATGTTCTGAGGGCACTGGGCACACCCAGACCGCAAGATCCGCACGTGAGTGGATGACTGGACACCGCCATTATTATTGTTTTCTGTTGACAGTGAAAGATGTGAAATAGATATTGTAATATCTTTTGACAGTTGCTCATGTTGCCGATATATTTTCCTGACCGTTGGTTCCATTCAGAATTGGCGTCCTGCTGATGGATGAAACGCAGCTGAGAATGCGGAGAATGTTCTGAGGGCACACCCAGACCGCAACTCTAGCTCTGAATTCTTGATGTCCTTTTCCTTTTCTTTTCTTTCTCTTCAACCTGGGTGTGGACAAGCTCGGATTTATAAAACTCTGTACAGTACAGGTTCAATGTGATTGTTTCCTGCTGCATTCCCGGGAAGACTGACTGTCCGGAGGCGGCCTTGGCCCTTGGGCACACTGTAGTTCTGATTTCTGGAAGGCAATCTCGGTAAAAACATGGCTGCAACTTTTTGTCAAACCATGTCCACGGCGGATGCTGGGCACTTCACCCTTTATATCTTCTATAGAGTTCTGTCCCAATCAAAGATCTTGGTTCCAGTCTGCATTCCCGGGATGTGGGGGCCGAGATCACAGAGGATGAGAAGCCAGAAGAGACTCTCTGTCCGGTGGCCGGTTTGGGCATAGCATTTCATATTTCTTAACGGCTCTTGCGAAGTACAAAGGTTGGCGCCACACCATTTGTGTTCTGTCTAGTTTCAGTGTGTGTTGTTGTGTCCCCCGACGCAAAGGCGGAGAACATCAAGGAGGAGAAGCCAGTGAAGGCTTTGGTTCTGGAGGCCAGTTTGAGAGCGCGGCCTTTCCCAGTCTCAACGCGACTGAACAATCCTGAACATAGTTTCCACCAACCTCTTGCAACCCGATTTTTGGAAAGATTTGCATGTATAAACTCTTGTACAAATTCAAGGGCTTGGGGCAACTCTAGCTCTGAGTTCTTGATTCCCATCATTTCGTTCTTTCTCTTCAACCTGGGTGTGGACAAGCTCAGATTTATAGAAACCTGTACCGGTTCAATGTGTTTGTTTCCTGCTGCATTCCCGGCTCAATGCGAAGGCTGCAAAGGTGGAGAACATCAAGGGCGAGAAGTCAGTGAAGACTGATTGTCCGGAGGCGGCCTTGGGGATACTGTAGTTCTGAGTTCTTGGTGAAGATTGTATTTTTGTATTGTTTCCTGACTAAGTCAAATTAACCGAATTTTTGAAAATCGACTGCCCCACTTTCGCCGCCTGGTGTGCAAGTATATTTTTCTGGTACCTTGTGTTTTGTGGATTATTCAGTGTTCCACATTCTTCGGTTCTCTAGAAACTCCTCAAATTGTGGTCTTATAAAATCCTGCAGACGTGGTTTGTATGAAATCCTGTCTTTCCTTGTTTTTGGTATTGGATCCTGTATTGGCTCCAACATAAAATCCTTATATTTTTTACCTAGGAATCGGATACTGTTATATATAATTAGACGAGTGCAGCTACAGGAAAAGATACTTGCCGTACAAACGGGGATATGGCAGCGAAATAGCCGTCCACGCCCACGCGACACAGCGATCTAACACGGCTGCTTATCACCTACCGTAAGAACCCCTAAGTGTGTCCACACTGTTTGGGGAACAAAAAAGCGCACTTTGATACGGACAAGAGTTCCCATTACCGTGCTGCCATACGAGAGCTCATGAAAGACACTTGCATAGACCGTCTAAACCCCAGAAATCATGAACAAGAAAACTCATCAGGTGAACTTATGTCACTCGGCTAGTAGGGCTGAATAAGTACGGCTACACAGGCACAGCTGCGATGATGGCCTCTCAAGCAGCGCCTAGTTCCATCAGTTCCACCAGAACCTAGTTCTGAGATAAATAAGAACCTCTATGGCTTCGAGCTATCTGGTGCAGTTACCCTCCGCGTTTTGCATCATCCAGAGTCTGCTTGCATTGCTTGAAGACACCAAAATAAGTGGAATTCTTGGGAAAGTCTACAATTGGAGAATATCAGGGAGCGACTCTCACTTCAGCAGTGGATATCAGAGCACGCAGGCTTCTGTGCCAAATTGTGCATCAATCCTCCAACCAAACGCAAGCTCCAAGATCAAGGTGATTTGTCGGCCTTGGAATATAAAGGAACAAATTTTGTCCAGCCAGTTGCTTGTGAATGTTTTGGAACGTGTTTACTCAGACTTCGACTCATCAAGAACAAGCAACATTGGCTCAACAAACAACGCTTGCGCGAGTGCAACTCGCATTCGCCAGCCACCAGACATGTCCTTTGTGGCCTGGAGCAGCATCGTTTTCAAGCTGTCAAAATATGCTTTCAGCATTTCAGCTTTCAGCATTTCAGCTTTCAGCGTTTTGAAGATTCATTGACTCCAAAGTGATGTCCTTCTGCATCATCTGCTTGCTGAAACCCAGTCCATGCAAAAGCTCGCATGCTCTGGGCTCAAAGGTTGACGGATCCATCTTGTCCAGTTTGTCCCCAATGACCTGGAAGCTCTAAGTAGCTCTGAGTCTGAGAAGCTGAAAATAGGGGACCAAAGCTCTGTCCTGCAGGTAGTCGGCGTTCTTCTCAGGGTCCTCTTCCAGTAGCTTGATTGACAGCTCCTCCCATATGAAAGTCTCAAACAGTGGTATCTTCTGACAAGGAAGAGCTTAGATCCAGCACAGCCAAGAAGTCTTATCATCTTCGCTTTCCTCCAAGCGCTTGTGCTCATCAGCTACCACGTTCACTACAGCCTGCACAGCAGTGATGTCTTCTGGCTTGGCCTCACTGTCCAGAAACCAAATGTCCTCAGTGGAGCGGCAAGAGCAGTGCAGTCTAGAAACTAGATTGAAAGAAATGCGTTACAAGGCATCAAACAGTCAAGCAAGCTTCTACGTGGTCTGGAATGGGTATTTCGCGAGCTGCGATTGCAGCAAGCATTGTGGACTTGCCAGATCCATTCCTCAGACACGTAAGGCAAACGAACAAGCTCCATGGACGGCTGACAGCTGCAAAAAGCATTGTCTCAACAACTAGACTCGATGGAAAGCCGAAAGCCCTTCAAAAGCTCCCATCAAAAAGTGTTTGCTGCGTCCACGAGTCATACCAATAAGGCCATATCGACGCCCAAAATTGAGCTCCAGCTTTGTGTCCTGCTACAGCGGTTCGACGGAGCCTCTTCTTCTGACTGCCACTTCCCAGTTACTGAGGTTGTTCTTTGCTCAGAATCGCACCACAGAAAATGTTACCAAAAGCAAGTGACCAGGACACCCCACAATTTTGACCTATATAACTTCATTGACCTTTTGTTTTTCAAAGTTTTGTTGCCTCCAACCCATCCACAACGGAAATTGCTTAAAGACTTAAAGCTTTCAAGGCTTTCAAGGTTTGTTTGCTTCTCTTGTGACATAGTGACTGTCACTTGCTGACAGGACCAACAAAACCAAGTCGGGCAAACAGTGGCATGTGTTTGTCTACAGCAAGTCCTTGATAAATTCTTTTCCATACACACTCATCGAGAACTGCTCGATCTTGATGTCCATCGCTTGTTGCTGTGATGCCAGCACCCCTGTGACCACAGCAGTCTCCAACACCTGGGTCTCTGCAAAAGCGGTCTCCATGTTCAAACGGAACTCCGTTTCATCACCAAGGCACTGCGGCTCTCTTGACATTACCTTTCAGCATGGCCTCCTTCTGAACCTACAGCAAGCTACAAGCTTGGAATCTAAAACATTTGCTTCAGCTGAAATAATCACTGGCCGAGCATCTTTATCTACAAGAGCTGAATTGCCGTCTTTCTTTCCTCAAGACTCACAAAACTGAACTTGGCACTCACAACTCACAACTGCTTGCAACTCCACACCTGCTGCTTTGGCTTTTGCCTTGGCTTTACGCTTCTCATCCTCCTGCCAAGTTCTAAAAAATTGTCGCATGATCACAATTCATGAATGATTACTCATTAATCGTGCTGCTCTTTTTGTCACATTCTCTCCTTCCTCCCCATGGTCTGCCAAGGGGATGCTCTACGGTGTCAATTGCAAAATGTCCACAAATGCTTGAAGCACGCAGAAAGTACAGCTTCGTTCCAAGCAAGTTCTCCGAAACTCGTGAAGTGACCAATACCTCACCTCTTTGAGATCAATCCTCTAATTCCAAACCTGCCGAAGCGCATGAGGATTGCCTCTGCATCACACTTTTGAATCCAGCATAGGGCTGGGACTTGACGTTCGCTGCTGCAGCGAGGTTCATTTGCACAATCTGATGCTTCCGAAGGTGGTGGGAATTTTATCCCAAACCTTCTGCTGCTTACTAGGCATAATCTGGTGATAGTGGCATCAAGTGATTTGCAAAACACAAAAAAGACTATGCCCTATGCCTCAAACAAGAAACATGCATGCTGCACTTTGTGCACGGCATGCCCTAGTTCCTTCTGCATGTTGATAAAGCCAGTCTCACACATACCATATTCGTACCTGGGCTTTGTGCCACAAACCGCGAAAAATTGTGCATCCGAGGCGTGCACCCTTTGGGTCATGATGGGGTAGTCACCATCGAAGAAGGTCGTCTCAATCACAACGTTGCCAGACCTTAGTCGCACACATTGAACCAAAATACAAATCTGCCGTTGTGAGCGGCGGGCAGCAATTCAGCAGGCAACATTTCTTCCTCCTCAGCAGCCTTGTTGAAAGACTTTTGATGGAGATCACCGGCACCAACCCTCTCTCTCGGTCTCATACTCTATCTCATTCTTACTCTCAAGGACTCTCTCGGTCTCACTCTCGCTTTCACTCTCTCGCACTAACGCTCCCTCTCTATCTCTCTATCTCTCTATCGCTCTATCTCTCTATGTGGCACTTTGGCAACCTGCTCACAGCACCTCGGTGAGACTCACAAAAAGTGAGACTGAAAGACTAAATCCAGCCTCAATGGTCTGCTGCCAAGTGTTTGTCGAATTGGGTATGACAAAGCCAAAATGGAAGTTCCATTCCTCAAATCGCGTTCTTTCGCATAAGGATCATGTTGATTGGACAATCATTGGACCCCCTGTCTTTCAAATAAGCCTCTTCCAAAGGTTCGCCTTTGAAAATTACCTGAGCAGTATACAACTGTCCGCATTCATTCAAGCATTCCCTCCGACAATTGCCTCAGAATCACACCGACTGTACCAGTCGCAGGCTGGTCATCACTTCCAAGGAGGAAAAATTCAGCTCCCGGGACACCTACAAAAAAGAAGTATTATTAAAACAACTCATTTCTTTCCACTTCGTGGCATTCAAACCCTCTTTCTACACATGGCCTGTCTGCATTTTAGAATCTCTCTTGGTATTTGCGCCTGACATTGCACGAGACTTTCACTTGAATAAGTTGCAGAAACTCCACGCAAGTTCTTCCACAACAAACGTGGCGGTCCTCCATTTCATCTTGACCGCAGTCCCATTCGCCGCTTTCCCACATAACTGCAAAAGAATCAAGCAATGTACAACGAACAACACAAACAGGAGCACCTTGTCCAGTAGCTGCATCACGCATATTCATCCAGTTGATGCGAAAACCCTGACCAAGAAGCACATAACTAACTGAAAAGCACATAAAATTGATCGTCATGCAAATGGTATTTCCGTGTCAAGTGGAAAAATGTGAAGTCCCTCAATGCCTCTCGTATTGCATACACATGTCCTCCTCCTCAAGGAAATTTCGACTCAATTGCAAAACATTCTTAGCCTAGCCACAATTGACTGAGTGTTCTGCCGTCGTCCATGGCCCTTCCAATCGCTAAATTTGTGCCCAAAGGCGATGCTGGTTCAAACGAAGCATAAAGCGGTTTGGAAAAAAAAACTACAATCAAACAAACCAAACAATTGAAATGTTGGTTCCAAGCAACCGTTGAATCAAGCAGGCCAAAACAGGACGCCCTTGAAAACAACATCTTACTATTATTACCCTTGCCCCCTCCAGGGTAGGGTGGCTATGGTCGAGCCACCTTGGAACGAAGATTATCGGGTTGGTGGATTATGGTCGGTTGCACTGCCTTCCATGTGTTTCAACTGCGTCGCCACTCAACTTGGACACACATCGTTCGATGAGCTAGCAGCCTTCGCAAATCCAACATTAAAATTCACTGACAAGATTGCTATGCAAAAGAAACAATAACAACTGTGCTTTACAGGCCAATTCACAACGCAAATACAAACCAGCCAATGTTGAACTGTTTGTTGTTTGCGTCTCATTTTGCAAAAAATGTTTTGCACCAATGTCCATGCAAGAGGTGTTTGTTCCCCAAACAGTGTGTCCACACTAGAGTTTCTTACGGCAACAGTTGAGTCTGATCGGAGGTGACCTGGAGGTTTGCCTGCTTTGTCAGGTCCAAGCAATTTGGCCTCCATTTACCCTGCGCCTGACGAGTTTGAACCGATGCTCAGCGTTGACTCCCCGAGGCCCTTCATACAGGCATTCAAGAGCAAAAGCTTGAAACCTACATTCCAAGTTCAACTGCCCAACTGTCTCCATGTGGAACTGGCCCATTTTCGTGGTCAGCACCTTTTACTCAGAACACCAGGAAGGGCACCACACGCAGGTGACCTCAACGACTCAACCGACACATGCCATCCACACTGCCAATCGTACTCTGTCTTCTGCACAATCAGACTTTGAACAAGTCTCTCCGCTTGCAACAACATTTTCAGCAGACACTCTTGGACAGAAGTTCGTGGCGACAGATCGAAAAAACATTTTTACAATTTCGGCCCGCGCAACATTCACACACTCCCTGCTTCCAGAACAGACTTGCAGGATTGTTTTTCGGTCGCAACTGCACCGCTCAGCGGGCGTTGAGTGGCACCCAAAAACCTGAAAGGCTCAAAAGGTCGACAAGGGCCAAGCGAACCAAGCCACCGGAACAACGCTTCGGAACCTCCAGACAATTTCGACTGCAAGAGCACCCGCCACATCTTCCACAACAACCACAACACTTGCAACCACCACTGTGAAAACACATGGACAGCGCAGCAGACCCTTTCACAATGCTGCTCTAGGGCCAAATGCCCAACATTCGGCACCATGAGACAAAATGGATCTGTCAACCACCTCTACAACCTCAACCCAGCAAAGCCGCAGCCACGAAAATGAGCATGCAAGGAAGTGAGGGTTTGCAGGTTCCTAAAGGTGATCTGGTCCTGTTTTCTATCAGATTTGGGTTTCTGTCTGCGTTTTCAATTTCGCTGTTGCTGTCTTCTTCACCATCTCTTGCATATGCCCAAAATCTCTGCAGTTGAAACAAGCCTTGCTTCTAATGGGAGAACCTTGGACAGCACGACTCCTGATGTAAACTCAGTCACTGCATCGCCAGAGCTGCTGATTGTTGTTGGCCCATCTTGGGCCCATGTTGGCCCAACTTGGCCCTTGTGTTGTGCCCTCTGGGGCCTATGTTGGGCCCCTCTTGGGCCCATGTTGGGCCATCTTGCCTATGTCAGGCCATCTTGGAGCAATGTTCATCCATCTTCGACCAATCTCGGGGCCTCTGTTGGTCCATCCATTGCCACCAGGAAATTGCCACCAACCAATTGCCACCAACAAACTTCCACCCACAAACTGCCACCAACCAACTGCCAAACTGCCCCAACCAATTGTCACCCACCAACCACCAATTCTCCGCTCCTGTGTCTGGTGAAGTTGTGAACATGTGGGTTATCCGGTTCTACAATTTCAGAAGACTGCGAACAGTCAACTGCAGAGAAGAGTTCAGAAGCTTCTGAACAGTTTGAGACAGTCTGAACCGACTGTGACTTTGGCTCAATTGAGCGGGATCAAAAGCTTGCGCGTCCGTGTTCAGATATTCTCCTTGGTGCAAGTTCAGCAGACAGGCCCATGCCATTTCAAGACCAAGTGCCCCCACCAAAGCGCTGCAAACACTGTGGGAAAAGAGGACATGCAGCCTCAGATTGTTGGGAGAAACTGGTGGGTGGTGATATGTTGTTTGGAAAAACAAGCTTTTCAGAAGAGACCTACCAACCAGTTGTCACCAACCAACTGCCAACAACCAACTGTCACCAACCAATTGCCACCAACTGATTGTCATGGTCACCAGCCAATTGTCATCAACCAATTGCCACCCACAAGCAGTTGCCACCCACCAATTGCAACCAATTGCTACCAACTAATTGTCACCAACCAATTGTCACCAACCAATTGCCACCAACAAATGCCACCAACAATTGCCACCAACCAATCTCATCTTGGAGCACATTTTGCGCCATTTGTCAAAACGCGCAGGCGCCGACACCCCCTTGCAAAACCCACGGTTTTCACATTTTGCCATCCAAATTGTGGATCTTCCACGCCCACAAAACCCTGTAAACATTCAGTTTTTTTGCACCAGCAAATCACAGCGGAACAGTGGCAGAGACCCAGCAGCGCCAGCCACACATCCCATTTGTGGAGAAGAATTTGCAAGCAAATCAAAATTGGTTGGCGACACTTCGTTGATGACAATTGGTTGGTGGTTGGTGACATTTGGTTGGTTGACAAACTCAAGAAGGTCGAGTCCGTCTATGGTCCATGGCTTCGGCAACACATGTTTTCTCACCAAAGCTTAAGGGGGGCTTGTGCCACAATGTTCCATGGTTTTCACACATCCCTTTTTGATTCTCGCTTTCTTCTTGTCGGGATCTCACTTCTTTTCAACATCACCAAACAAACAAAAACACCACGAAACACTCCGATCATCCTCTCTTTGGTGCTTTTCCTATCCATCGTAGGATAGTTGGGTCTTCCTTCAATCTCTTCTTTCCGAATTGTAGCACCTTTCTGAGGAGATCCATTTTAGCTCCCAACTTCGTGATCTGTAGGCAGCCACTTCACATTCACGTTCTGCTTCAAAACATCTCGCTTCACCAGGAGCATTTCTATGGCCATTCTTTTGTCTTTGATAGTCATCAGCTGGCCATTGAGATGGTCAAAGACGGGTCGTGAGTCCACCGAAATGGTAATTGGAGTTCGACTGCACCACATGAGATCCTCTTTCAAAGAGTATCCAGGCTCCATTGCCTCAGTCCATAGAGAACGGATCCACTTGCTCTCCGCAATGGTGCGAGACAAGGTCATCAATTCAGCTCCTAAGGTCGATGCAACCTGCCGGTCTTGTTTGTAGCTTCTCCATCTCAGTGGAGAAAGGTTCGACCACTCTCCCAGTCTCCTCAGGCTAGGCTCGACGGCACACACCATGTAGCCTCCCTGACTCTTCAAGGATTCGGCATTGGCAAAGCTGGCATCTGACCAAGCTGCAAACTCAATGGATCTAGGATCCAGTGATTTCACTGTGATCTCCAGTGATGCATCTTTTGCTGCATGAGTGAAAGCCCTGCTGCTAGGTCAGGTCGTGACCCAGTCACCAACCACTGCGCTTCACCAAGCACACCTCTCATTTGCGTCTTCTCTTTTGGGGTCGTTTCACGGTTTCTCTCACGTCTTCTTTCCTTACTAGTGGGAATGCACTCAAGTGTCTCGGCGTATTCTTTTTGTTGCACCACAATCCTACCATCTTCATGCTGTTTCAGAACTTTACCTAAAGATTCACCTTCAGAATACTTCACATGTTTGAAAAGATATTTCTGTTTCAATCGATCGAATTTCTCACGAACAAATGTTTCACTACCACCAATTCACAAATCGTCCACGTGAAACGCTATCACTCCATCTAAGGATCCTGCCGAGTCCCTGCTGTAAAACAACTGTCAAGCTGCGACTGCACCATGTTGAGTTCTCTCAACGACTTTGTCAAAGAGTCCCACCACAGCTTTGGAGCATCTACCAATCCGTAGACTGGTTTGATAAGCTCACACACAGCACTTTGCTCAATGTCTGGCACTCCGTCTTTTGGAAGACGTACGAGAATTCTACCATTCTTTCTGTTGATTGTGTCTCCTCGAAGGAACGCTCCTTCGATGTCGGCGATTGTCATCTTCCATTTATGACTTGCCAGTAGCTGCAATGCCACTGAGAAGCCTTCGTTGCTCAACGTGGGAGAAGCAGTTTGAACATCTAGGATGTCTGGGTCCAAATACCGTTTGATGCACCACCTAGCTTTCAACACACCTTCACGCGTGGCATGAGAGGGATACACGAACCCAGATTCCTACCTCTCGTTCCAACTTCCTGGCACTTTCACCAACATGGACAACCATCGCTCCTGACTTAATTATTTTACCCCATTCTTTGCTTTTCGCGGCGTCAAGTTCAATCTTCTTGTTGGGGGAAAGTTCCTTCACGCTCAGTTCTCTGTGTTTCACTTTCCTACTCTTCTGATCACCAGTACCCTTCTCTTATGAAAAACTATCCATCCCTTTTTGATGTTCAGCATGCATGACTTCCGAATCATTCCTGCGGCGCAAGGGTCTCCCAAAATCAAGTTGGTTTAAACTGTTCCTCATGGCATGGGTCAACATGAAAGTCCGAATCGGTCCATAGTCCGTGTTCTCCTGAGTCCACATGTTCTGGTCCACTTGTCCGTCCATACCTCCACTATTGTCCTGATTTCCTGGTCCCTCACGCTGTCATCACCGAGTCCTGGTTCGCTTTGTGGTTCCATGCTAGGTACTGACGTGTGTCCTGCTGGCGCTGCACCTTCCGGAGTGTCTCCCCCCTACTTCCATAGGCTCTGTACCTTCTTGTGCGTTTTCCTCCAACTCAGGTGAAGGATCAACTGGCGACATCTCAACATCTCCTCGTTCTCGAACAATGCTCTTCCAAGTTCTCCATGTCACTGGCAACCACGACGCAAGTTCAAGTACCTCATTGTCAACATGCTTTCTTGTCTGTCTGGGCACAAATCACTCGACCTGGTCCATGCCAGTGGTGTGATCACCACCCCGATTGGATCTGTTTCTATGACTGACAGCTCTTCTGAGTCTGGTCTCACTTTCCATGTCAAGAAATGCCTTTTTGGCGGCAATTCTAACTCTCTGAACTTTCACGTATCTTTCTCATTCAGAGCTGAGTCAAGCGTTTCATCATTCTCACCAATCATGCCCAACACTGGTGCCCTGACATCAGTTCCCATCACATGTTGTTGGGGAGAGTGTCCATCATGTCTCGTCAAAGTGTTGTGAGCACAATTCAACTGATCACTCAACTCCTCAATCTTCTCCTTTGTCTTCGGGTCCAGTTCCAACACGGCTCTACTGAAAGCAACCTTCCATGCTCCACCAAGTCTTTCACACACGCCATTCTGCCATGGTGCATATGCTGCTGTCACAGTGTGTTCTGTGCCATCATTGGCAAGGTGATCTGTCCTCGCTGCTCCAAACTCCGGTCCACCATCACTGACCACGAGTCTGGGAGCACCTGCCCAACGTTTCCAACCTCCTGTATGACTTGCGCACCAATGCCTTTCCACAACGGTGCACACAGTTGGTATCTTGTTCCAATGTCCACGATGTCGAGGAACTTCATCTTCTTATGCGTCAACTCAACTTCAAAAGTATCAACACACACAAGGTCGTTGAACTGCAAGTCCTTGGTCGCCTTGGAGACGTTGTGACTCTTCTCACCCTGACTTTCACGACATGTTGCGCAAGTCAACCCGCTGCCAACTTGATACATGTTTCAATTGCTCGAGCTGCTTTCACATTGCGATGAACTTTGGTGTTGATGGATGTCCTAAGTTCTCATGACAGCGCTTCGCAAACACACAAGTGTCTTTTCGTCTTGCGTGTTTAGCGTTTCGATCGTCAACACACAATGCACAGCATGACTCTGTAGTTGCGTTTGTTCATCATCTTGCAGACTCAACAACAACTCTTCACAGAACCTCCTAGGATATTCCCTCCTAGGATATTCCTGCAAGCGCCGATCGTTTCCAACCCTCTTCCGCTTTGACTGACCCAAAAAAAACGTGTTGATGAGAATGTCCACCATCACACAACCTCGACATGCGGCTGGCAACATGTGTGCTGTTTGTCAAAAGTTTGGTTCGTTTCCCATGCAGTTTCCGGTTTTGAACATCTCTCAAACCAAACATGCACTGGTCAACAATGATCTGGCTCACCTCTGGCATCTTGGCAAC